GTGGTGGCGTCTAGTGAGCAAAGGGGTGATTCTTGCGAAACCTGCTGGGAAAATGTGCAGGTCATATTTCACTCCAAAATTTCCCCGAATTTGAATTGTGTTTATGCCTCTATTTGGTCATTTAGGGTTAATTCAAGAGGATTGGGAGGACATATACACACACACACACACACACATACATATACACATATATATATATATATATATATATATATACAAATATGTATGTATTTTTTTTTCTACGGATATTTTACTTGACCATTTATTTTGTGTGTGTTTGTTTGTGTGTATAATTGGAAAGCAAAATAAATGTTAAAGTAAAATATCAATTTATATTAAATGTAATAGGAGTAGGTTGGCAAAATATGTTTGTCTTGAAAAATAATGTCAGTGGAAAAAATATCCAATAATTATCAATAAAAATGCAAAATTAGAGCTCTAAAAAGACCTATAATTGGTTTGGTCACTAATATTTACCAATATTTTCCACTTTTACATTTAATTGGTTCTTAAACATCGTGTTTATCGATAAATGGCGCTAAATGTGGTAATAATAGCCACCGTTGACATGCATTCAGAACAACATTCTTCACAGATGATGTAACTGGCTGTATGAAGCATATCAAACAGTTAAATAGTTAATATTGGCTTTGAGGTGGAAAAAAATGGTCGCTTTTACTCACAATATAATTGCTTCTTTTTGGAGTGAAATATGAACATTTTATTAACAGGTGAGAATTATTTGTAAGTCGCTTTGGATAAAAGCGTCTGCTAAATGACTAAAAGTAAAGTAAAAGTAAAGGTGAGAATAACCCAAAAACCTAAAGGGCTGTCAGTTCAAACCTTTTAAGCGGCGATGCCTTCCAACCCATCTTTTATAAATAAATACATTTTATTTTAAATAAATAAATAAAATCATCGCACTCTACAGAAAATACTGCGACCCTCAAATCGCTTTGCATGTGCACTACCCAAGCTGACCGCTAGGGGCCTAGAACAGTGCACCTGCTGCCTAGGCAACATTCTAGGCAGTGAAAGACTAGGCATGATGAGCCATTTCAAAATCTTTAACAGTGTGATGAGTTTTGAAGTAACAGTATTGCAAGTGCGATTGCGTCAGGAGCAAATCTTCGCGCTGTACGTGAGGCTTTTGAACATTTACTCACACACAAGTCTCCCCTCACATGCCGCACGTGGTATGGACCCGCATTATAATTAAGATTGGCGTTTTAAACTGCGTCATGTTGCCAAAACCAACCTCGGTGCCCCAGCGAGGGGATGAAGCGGACAACACCGGCCAAAAAAGACATCTACTTAAAGACTAAGCCGCATTTTACCCACGAAACTGCCAAAGCGACGTGAAAAAGCGCGTTTGTCGGGACGCACATTGGCAAGCGCAGCCGGGAAACTGGATAACTGGGTCAGGCCAGGCACATACGATTCAGGAAAAACTTGAAATGCGAAAAATGAAAAACAGCCGAAAAAAGGTTGTATAATAATAATAAAAAGAAAATAAGCGTTTGAAATAAAATACAAGATTTGAGAATGATTTGTAACTCTAAACTTTAATCCAATTAGTCTATTTTCAAATATTTGACCGAATATATCGGATTTAAAAATGTCAGGCTGAAATACCTGAATGACTCAGAGTGACATGCTATCTGCGCATAATATATGAACGTATGGCGCAATCAGTCAACCTGAGACACACGTCGCCTCCATTGACCATACGCATAAAATACTAATGCCTCAATTAGTCTGCTTGATCTTAACGATTACAAATGTGTGTGAGTTATATAAACATTCGCTCTTAGTAAACGCTGACAAAAATGTTTTCAATTAACGTTACATCTGCTGCGCAAAAAGTTGAAATTATTAGCCCCCCATCTCCAAATCCCTGAAGTTCATCTTTATTTAGTTTAAGGCTGCGCCAAATGCGCACTACATTCATCCCACCCATGTCCTGCCAGCACAAGCTCTAATTCCCAACGCATGTCGTTCAACTTACCTGCCCATTTTCCCAATTTGGGAGAGAGTAAATCCCCGTTTCCCAGCACCCATATCCTAAAGCCAGTGATGATCTTGTACAGCAGCCACAGCGCCAGCAAGGCCGTGATAAGTGCACCGACCCAGAAGAGCGCTCTCTCGACAGGCTGTAGCGGCTCCACCACGTTAAACGACTCCATGTCTACGGCTGGCTGTGCGTGGTAAATGACCTGCAAACTTAGTCGTTATGCACTGCTTTAGAGCTTCAATGTGTGCGCCTCTTTATAAGCAGGTTGTGGCATCACACCCCTACAACTCCTCTAACATACTAGTCTATCCAGATTTAAGTGCACACCTCCCACATACTCCGTCGCCGCCCATGCGAGCCCACGTCCATCGTTGATTGGCCGAAACTCGCGTCCGTCAACCGCAACTTACCGTTGATTGGCTGTTGTGCGCGTCAATCACAAAGAACCCATTCTCATTCATTCGGTTGCCTGTTTCAATGGGGCGGACCGAAAACTCTTCTGAGTGAGAAGCGATTGGACAAACATTACGGTAACCTCCATTCAAATAATGTCATTGGTTGTGATTCAGAACGGGTTTTTCTGTTTCAGTCAGGGTTACGAAACCTCCAAACCCACGCTTCCAACGATCACCCCCCACACTATTTATGAATGAAGTTTGTTGCTCATTGGCCACAAGGGCTCCTGTTGTCCCGCCCCTACTGAGCAGTCAGTGAGAGTCTATTTGTCGACATGAACGCCAGTCACATTCATTCACCGGCGCTGTCACACCAATGAGTCATACTTTGGGAAAAAAAGACGGGCAAGCTTATTTGCTGCATTTTAGCTCAATAGGCACATGTATGAGTCAGTTTTCCATTTTCCTGACCATGTTTGTGTTTCCAAAACGATCCCCCCCCACACTATTTTATGAATGAAGTTTGTTGCTCATTGGCCACAAGGGCTCCTGTTGTCCCGCCCCTGCTGAGCAGTCAGTGAGAGTCTATTTGTCGACATGAACGCCAGTCACATTCATTCACCGGCGCTGTCACACCAATGAGTCATACTTTGGGAAAAAAAGACGGGCAAGCTTATTTGCTGCATTTTAGCTCAATAGGCACATGTATGAGTCAGTTTTCCATTTTCCTGACCATGTTTGTGTTTCCAAAAGTACATAAAACGTTCGTGAATAAAAGAAAACCGCGTGAACACACATTCCGCTTGTTTTCACAGTGTAAGACACAAAATAAAAACCATTCATGTATTTTGAATATTGCAAAGACATCGTATTTATACATACATAGATACATACAGAGTCATACAGTACATAAATGCTTTGCTGTATATTATGGATATACACATAACCAAGCAAAAACTAAGCCAAAATTACATATTAATTAACCTTGTATCATGAGTCATATTTGACAGCATTTTTACACGTTTTTGGGTGTGTTGGGGACGCAGTGTTTCTATAACATAATTAATTATAATTATAATTATAATTAATACATAAGCACCAATAGAAATCCACCGGTTCTACATAGTAACAAGCGATACGTCATTGGATGGGAAGCAATGGATATTTTACACCGTGAATAGCGTATATAGCCTAAGATAGGATGATTTGAACAGCGTTATTTTGGCAAACTCTGCTTATTTTATAATGTAGACAAGCTTATTATTTCTATTCATTCAAACGGTGAACATCCTCCACATGGAACTACAATTACCACACAGCGCTGTGCCGAAATATCGCGAGAACTCACGGCGCAAATAACGCGGAAGAGAGGATGGTTATGTAAACACATAGGCACGTAGTAGATATGCAGCTGAGCAACATGTGAAAATAAAGCGTAAACGGTTGTGAAACACATTTTTAATCGACTTACACATGCATGTAGGTATGAAAGCGATACGCGAGTGTTGTAAGCGTCGAAACTCGCGTCAGTCGGATGTTTTGCTCTTGGCTCGTGCCTAGCTTGTCAGCTTGACATTCAGTCAGACTAGCACACATACTGGATCACTCTAACACATCCATGTCCACTGTCACCATTCGCTTCACTCACGACCCGAAACTTAACCTAAAATATAAGCCCCCGACACGTGAACAATTCAAGTAACACATGCAACATGTAAACCACACACTGTTTAGTAGAAAAAAAGCATTGGAGTCGTCATGAAAAAACATTTTAATGTCTGTATTTTTAATTGTAAGATACTCTCACCGTGGAAGCCTTTTTCTCTATATATTGCCCCCTCATGCTACTTTTTGTCTTTTTTTGTATCCGAAAGGCTCTTAACACACAAAACGTTTTCAATATGTCACAAAATAGTGTGAATTTTCCAGATTTCCCCACACTTAAAACAGACAAATAAGCAAGCAGACTCTAAAATAAAAACAAACATTTAATTTTCTCTAAAATGGGATAGGGAATACAGAAAGCAAGCAGTTTGATTACAACATAGGCTACGTGATTCATAACTTTGTCACGTGAACGACAAACTTCCAGCTTTTAGATTTTGCAACGAAATCACACCATATATTTCTCACACCACATGTACAGCTTGTTTCATGTAATAAAATAGCTAAACAATTACTCAGGGTCGAATAGTTAATGCAGCATGTTTTTCTCAGTGCACTATACAGAATGACACAGAAGTGCAGAACTCACACGTTATGTCCTTACGCTGTGCACACTGCAGCAACCACACGTTACTCATTTTACTCAATTCAGCTCAAATGTTAAGCACATAGGGTTATATGATAAACAATAACAGCAAAGCATAAAAATATTATACTTATAAAGCAATAAAAAGAAAAGACACGTAAGGCACAAATAATCAAACACAGTGCACTAACAGTGTTATTTTTTTGTATTATTATACTACAAAATAATACTTTAATAACTGATGCGAAATGTAGATATTTTACTTAATTATCCTTTACTTAGACAAACCTTAAAACATAACATTTTCGAGATCAGACACTCTCTCTCTCTCTCTCTCTCTCTCTCTCTCACACACACACACACACACACACACACACACGTTTCCTCTCACGTAACACATTATACATTCCAGCTTTCAGTCCTCGACGCTCACTGATCTACCACAGACATCTTAAGAATAACTCGACGCCTATAATCTTTATTATTTAATTTAAACATATTTATCTCTCCCCCTTTCTGCACTACCCAGCCCCCTTTGACCCTTTGGTAATTCCAACAACTCATACTTCACATTTACTGTGCTCAAAATGCTCCCTAAACACTAGTTATAAAACCTAATTACATGTATACAATATAATAAACATATCTCGCGAAAGAACGTATAAAAACAGCATCATCTTTAGTTCTAAGCTCAGCAGGCCGTGTGAGTGATACGTCAGCAGCAGCACATGCAGAGGACAGCGAGCGCCTGGCAGCTAAAACTCTCCGTTCAACTATCTACAGCTTCATACAACATTTTAAACAAACTATTAGGATCTCACAAATATGTAACCCTCACAATTATAAAGCACCGCAAGCTAAAAAACTCGCGTCTGTAATTTTCACACACGTCGACAGACGCAGTCGTTTCCTACGTTCGCTACGCACACGTTCTTATTATCACAGTCACAACAAATCCATTTCAAGCTACATATAGGCTATTATTTAATTAGAACAAATACGATTAAATCAGACTGCGTTTGCCCTCACGTCTTTGAGATAACAACACAACTCAACACAAACGCTCGTGTGCATCTCGTCTCTACACAGTTTCTCTCATTCAGGTGAATAGTTACTACAAATGTATCTATACATGGTTTTTATATTTATTTTTTTAAAGCTTAAATACGTACTACATCATTTTCATATTCCCTTACGTCTCACAGCTCATGCGTCTCAGACGTTACAGACGTCTGCACGTGACAACGTAAGCAAGTTAAGCTCATTTATTAAACCCCAAGTAGTTTACAGACAAATATTGCAAATACCTGACGGTGTTATGTTGTTCATACAAAGTTATCAACTTGCTGAATATCCATTTACAGGTGTAAAGCAGTCTAACAGACGTTGGTTTGACATTGATCTTGTGTGCAGGATACAAGGTAAAGTTTTCCCAGATTTTCATCCTATTGGGGGAAAAAATAAAGCATGTTTTAGTGTTTATTAAGGTAATATCCTCTCAATCATGCATCATTTATGTATCATCTAAAAAAAAACATTGATGGCATTATATTGCACTAAAATACATTTTAAAAACACATATTTCAAGTTTTTATCACAACTACTGCTCGTTCATAAAATATAATATTTTATCCAACAGTTTATAGTACATTTATAAACTGAAAATTATTATTTTTCTCTATAACATATATATAGGCACATTCATAGGCTATACTGTCAGCTTGATGCAGGTCACATTACCTGGCAAAGAAAAAAAAAATACAGACACTGAAAAAATGCCACGTACCTTTTAATTTTTCCCTCTGACATGTGAATGTTGTGGATCAGATGATTAACCCTAGGACTTCACCACGGTATTCTCACGGCTGAGGCCTTTGCCACGCTAGACGGGGTTTGAAAGAGAAAGCATGCAAAAACAGATGAAGATTTATGATTTTATCCATCAGTAGTGATTTAGGATCGTTTACAGCAATATAAATATTTGTTTATGGTTTTTTCTTTAACAATATACTGTATATTTTTTTCTGCTCACAAACATTGTCACACATGCTTCTGTACACACATACACATGCACCACAGATGCAAATACAGTCAAATGTCATATTTCTTCATGCACATCCAAATGTATCATGTCCACTTTCATCCTTGTTCATCTCATAGATTTTATTAGATTTCAAACAGCCTTTTCATTTTAATCACATCTGTACAAATGCCAGTGATTTAAAAGTCTATGTTAGTTCCTTTCTTAAACATCTACAATACATAATTTGTTAAAATTAATATATTTTGAAGCAAAACAGCTGTGAACTACTAAAGTAAAGTAAATCTGTATTTTAGATTAAAATTACAATGTTTAAAATTATTCAGCGTCATTTTATTTAATAAAAGAAGCTTACATGTAGCAAATTTACTTGTAAAGTACGCATGTTTGCTTACTAAACACTTAAATATAAGATGTGCGTCAAATATATTTACAAAACTGTACAAATTGCATTTGAAATATAAAATGTAATAAATATAAATGTAACTAAATTATACTGTACTTTATAACTGCATGTCTTCGGCTCATCTGGCCTGCCGTCTCTTTCTCAAAGCTCACGCATATGTTTCACAACCTCTCGGCCATGTGCTCACTAACATACACACACATCCAGCTCTCTACATGTGCGCAAACAATCATACACAAGCATTCTGTGCATATTTACACACACACTCGCATTTACACACTCATATATGCATGCATTCACGCACAAGCGGTTTTAGGGCCTCGAAACAATCACATAAAGCCTTACAACACAAACACACACATCCATGTGCGCTCTTCTAGGTACGTAAATAAGCACAAACACTTATATTGTCAGTACAATTGAAAAAAACACACACACTCATATGTACATTCTTATTCACACAAAACATTTTGCACACACACATAGAGGACTTGCAATAATGATACAAAGCTTTCTGATATACACTCACAAGCAATTTTTGTTTGTACACAACTTTACACACACACACACACACACACCGACCGTCTGTATGGCCAAAATGAACATGCTACACTCGTTATCTAACACACACACACACACACGCGCTCACCTATACATACATATCTGTGCATGAATTCGAACGTATAAGCACACACTCACCTTAAAATAATAATACAAAGCATTCTGACACATACACATAACCATGCATTCACATTAATACACACACAGACTCACACACACTCGCTTTATCTGTCATATTCTTGAAGATTTACACAATATATATGCATAAATGTGCACAAGATATTTGCTACACACGTAAATGTATTAAAATAATGCATTCGTTAATACTTACACACACACACATTCCTTTTGCGCTCATTTTGGTGCACACATCACTTTACCATGGTATATTTGCATACACACACCGCAACTTGTACACACATGTATGCATACTTTTAAACAGATAAAGTTTTACACACACAGACACATTAAACTAACACAAACACACACATTTCTTATGCATTCTTGCTGATGCACAATCACACACACACACTCCATCTCCCACTGATGAAACACACACACATCTGCCTTTACATTCTCTAACAGACTTATACATACACACACAAGACATCTTACACACACATCCACAATCCACAAAGCATTCTGACACTTGCACACACATTCCCAGTGCATTTTGTGTGGGTATGCAAACATATGACACTAGCAACACATCTCACATATGTGGGCACTGGACACACACACACACACAGATCTGGCCTGCTCAATGAAAATCTGCTCATGACAGTCATAAAAACAACATCACTATGGTCAAATGTGTTTCCTGAGACCCTCCATACTTCTCTCAGTACATACTAGTTAAGGGGTACAATATATAGTACGGTAAGTATCAATATCAGATCAAACAGAATGATGACACTTAGCTTTACTATATATATATATATATATATAAACCTAATGATAATCTGAATAATGTCTGAATATCTGAATAATGATAATGGTGAAATCTGATACACTGCAAAAATTTGTATATATATATATATATTATAAAAAATTTATATATATATATATAATATTCTAGTGCATCAAGTACTACTGTCCGAGGTTATGTGCTTGTACGTCTAATGTGGTTATATGTCAGTCTGCTCAGTCTGCTGGCTCTACATTCATATACAAACAAAAAAACTCACACGACTCACACAAGCTTTTAAAAACTCATGTAACGGCTTAAAAATGTGCATACTACCTCAAAGTCTAGGGTGAAACTGAGTGACAATGCAGATTAGTTCACTGGTTTCTGTTACTTTCCATATGATTAGTATAAAACTAGTTTCTACTAAGTTGTTTGTCTTATTTTTAATGGAGGTTTTTGCATTACTAAAGAAGAACAGCTAAATGTCAAGATAAAATACATACTAAGCATTTTAATCCTCGTTTAGTGTCAGTTTAGTCGATGTATCATTAAAAACTGTGAAATACCAAATTTATACAGATATACTGGTAAAAATGTATTGCTTTCACTTCAACAAATATATTGTATTATTTGTAACTAATTTGTTCAGCCAACATTTTTGTGCAATGCCTCTGTTTTTGATACATCTCTTCTGGATTGCTGGTTTTAATAGTTTGACAAAACTGATTAATACATTTCAAATGTTTAGCTGTTTTAAATAACTAGCAGTATTTTATATATATATACATATATATATATAAATATAATCTATTTTGGTCAGCAAGACTGCAATAATATAATAAGTGCTTCCCTCTGTACGTTGTCATCTTTTTATGTGCCGTCGGAAGCATGTACTTTCCTCACGTCACTATCAGACCTGACTTGTCACATCTATATTGTTTTTTAACATTATATACATGATCAGCGACCATTAAAAACCTTATTCTTTTTCTTTTAACACATGTAATAAGGATAATTTCTCTTTTGGAAGACATTTCAATCGGAGCAGACGATGCAAGCATGCAAAAACACGACGGAATGTGAGCACTGAAGATTTTGCTTGATTTCTTGACAAAGAGAAAGATTTTTACATTTCTAAAGGTGATTTTATGACATCACATGCTCAAAAAAAACTGAATTCTGCTTCTTTTCTTATCATTTCTTATCACACTTTAGTGTTCTGAATTACTATTTTTGAACATTCTCTGGAACTGATTCACGTTTGCAAAATTATTTCTTCAGTTACACATTTGATCAGTCAAGATTTGCGGGTCACGGAGTTTCACCCATCAGCAAAGCCTAAGGTGTGAATAGATGGCATGGGACAGAAAGTGCGTTTTGCATTACAACTCATTCGAGTGCCGGATACTCCCATGCTTGCCTGTAAATGTTTTTGGGTCTAAATAGGTGTCGGCTGATACCTTGTTTATTGGTAAACCCCTTCTTTTCCCTCCGACATCTTCCATTCCTGTCAGCCGTTACCCCCCTTCCATGAGGAACACAGTCAGTTCGGCTTCACATCCCACTTTTGCATAGATGTCCAGTCATCAGCAGATTTTCTACAAATAAAAGACACAAACAATTACCAAGAAACCCCAAAAAACATCTAGACACACACAGCATCTACAATCTTTATTTGTGCTAAAATTGTTGATCTTAAAAAATAAATAAATAGTGCTGCCATTTAATACTTAATAACTACTATTTTTGTATTGTTTTAATTGATTTGATTATATTTTATTATTTTAGATTTTCAATTGTCCTGTTTGTACATGAATGTGTTCTAACACTGTAAAGTTAGCATTTTTTCTCCATTCATAGTACAAATTCCAGTCTTAGGTTATATTTCATAAACTTAATTCTTACACACACTTTCACAGTTTTATTTTAATACACTATATCCAAATCTGTATGATTGGCTGTGAAATACTAACAGCAGTTTCATCATAGTGAGATATGTTTAAGAAGAGCCGAATTTTAATAGACGTAAGCTTATTTTTTAATGAAAAGTCATTTGTTTGGTGCCATTTAGTGATGTTTAGGTAACTGAAAACTTCAGACTCACATTTAAATAATGTATTTTACCAAAATATTATATTTAAAAGCTGGAATTAACTGGGAGTATGTATACACAAATATGATCTGCTTTTGCACTGGTTATGTAGAGAGCACATTAATGCGTGAACGGGTATTTCTGCGGCAGTGAGGTCATGCCATGTTCACATGATGGGACCACCCTCTTAGGAACAAGCAGACACTCCCCTTCCCTAAAAATTCCGCCCGGAACTGACTCATCCCTCACACCTTCCCTGACTCATCCATATGGATAGAGGGAATGTGAGCAAAGAGGGAAAGATTTATTCCTCTTGTTAGTCCATGTTATTTGTTATTACGGCAGGTTAATGTTGGCATCCTGTTCCTGTGGACTGATTAAAATGACGGTTAAAGTTTAAAATCGACATCATGTCATTTTGCAAACAATTGAGGAAAGTCGAAGAATAAGGTGAAAAGGCTTTAAATGTTATTTGGTGTATCATAATGAAATGTGAGGAGATTAAAGAACATGAGATTAATACGTTGAGAGAGACCAGAGGGGATGAGCTGAGGAGAAAAAAGGGTAAAACAGTGAACAACATGAAAAAACAGTGTGCTCTGTGACAAAAAATGCATTTAATAACTGCAACATCAGATTTTTAATCCTAATAGGTAATGGAAGTTATCAATTATTTGTTTGGGATGCTTTTCAGTTTAATTTAGATTGTGGTTATTAATAGTTTAACATGAATTTGTGAGTGTTAAAAAGAACTCAATACCGTTTAGATAAAGTAGAGAATGAAAAAAATAAATAAATAAAAATTGCACATTATTTGTTTAAAAAAACAAACACAAGTTAAATCTAACATTGAACAATTGGGCCTTTTCTTGGAGACGTGCATCTTAAATAAGCTAAAAGTGACTGGGTGAGAAAACCGGGTGACGTCTTTTGCTCACCCAGTTAATCAATTAAGAAACCCATAGCTATGTTATCAATAAATGTGTTTGTTTGAATAAACTCTTAAAAGGGAGAGACATATAAAACTCATACAGTATAGCCATGACTAAAGTCTCTCTCTGAGAGAAAAAAAGTAGCTACGTCTAGTGCTGGTGAGATCTGAACGCATCTCAAGTCTCAGACTACAGGCATAAAAAAACAATATATATAAATATGAGATATTATAACAAAAATATTGATTTTGATAAGTGTTTAAATCTGCAATTTAAATAAACTGTTAAATGAAAATAGCCCATCGTAGCCGGTGCTGCAATCCATCTCTAGCTTCACTAAAAAATGTAATATATTTTCTGTTAAATATGACTTATATACAGAAAATGTACAAAATAGTATTTATGATTATATAGTACAGTAATCTGTAACTATTCCTTTTTTGAAAATCTGTATTAAAACTCTTTTTCTCAGATTGTTTGTCAGCATCTCAACGTCATGTCGTGAAATTTCTGCTGGAAGGTTTAAAAAGTTTATAGTGTTTAAAGACCAAATCAGACAATACTGTGACATTAATTCTTAAAACAGAAACAAAAAGCTTGGCTAATTTGATCTTCTAGAGTCTGTCATACTGTCCAGCCTGTGTTAATAACTGCCCCTTACTTTGTCGGTGATAAATATTTTTATGATACATTTATATTTTTTCAGTTTAAAAAACAATGCTTGAATCCTTGCATATTATTCTAAACCAACCTGCAATGAGCAATACTGTTAAAATACTGTTGAAAATCACACACAAAGATCTTTAACTCCACAGAAAACTAAAACTGTTGATGAGCAAATGCATATATCACTTTTTCAACATACATAGCTTCGTTTTTTATATTTTGTAGCTCAAATTGAATGCTCATATAACTTCAGTGGTCATTTCACTTAAGACTAAAGCAATACAAGTCTGTGTAATATAAGTATCAGCATGCAAGGAGAGCTGAAACATACACAAAAACTCCCAAATATTTTAGGGCCTTTTGTTGTATACTTAAAAAACACCGAAATATCTTTATTTTTAAAACTATCTACATACGCATACAGATATGAAATCAGTGCGTATGTATCTGTGTGTGTATGTGTTTATGCACATATCAAGTACAGTTATACTTGTGAGAATGTATTTGCTTTCTAGCTAATTGTGCAATAAATATTTAAGATGTATTAAGCATAAATATATAACATGAACCAGAGAATTCACTACAGAAAAAAACATGCTGTATTTTCCATAACAAGCAATACCAATACAAGTCACACACACACACACACACTATAGATATATAAAAGAAAAACATCACCAGCTGCTAAATTCAAAAATCTGCGTTCGCTGGCTGGACACAAACGTTTTTAAAGCACTGCGCATTATAACCAATCACATACGATTATGTTGAGCTTATGAATGCAAGGGACATTAAATACAAAGTCAGTCATATTAAAAATATTTTATGTCACCCATATCTGGTACTTAAGTAAAAAGACGGATTTTTATGCAAAGTTAATAGATTACACTATTAGGCTACTTTGCCCATCGCCCATTATAGATCAGCTAACATAATCTATAAAGGTGCAAAATGCATTTACTTACACATATTTGAGAATCGAGATATTTCATGATATATTCTGGAAATATTTTGAATAAAAATAAAAAAAAAAATAAAACCCCTGCTGCAAAAAACAATAGACACCATTACAAAATTTGTAATGGTTTTACGGGTTATAATGGGACTTGTATTGGTTTTACTGGAAACTGTAATGGACCCTGTTGGTCTCTACTGGCAATTGGTTGCCTTCTATTGGTGGCTTGTTAAAACTAATAAATCCTAATGGAATATGTCCCAAAACACACTACAGAATTTTTTTTTTTTAAAGGTCTTAATGGTTAAAAGTTAATGGTTTGTAATGTTATTTGTTGTGGAAACCATAAACATTTTCTGTGATGGTTTTATTGTTTTTTTTTTTTCAGTAGGGACATAAGCCTATATCAGTTGTACAGTGGTATTGGGGCTGCTGTGTGTCACATGACAAGCATGAGAGCCCCCCCCCCCTTCATTCTTGCCCCCTCAAAAATGATGCCCCTGACACTACAATACAAAATTATTTGTCAAATAAATGAAACATGATGAAACATTCATTTTAGTTGAAATTGTTATAGATTACTTCTAGAGATTGCAGTGATACATGATGGTGAAAAAGGACTGAATGAATAATACTTAAAGTAGGTTAAGATGAATTTTAAAATTGTGCCCCCTAAAAGCACAAGTGGCCCCTGTCTGGCCCCCCATAGAACCGCCCCTGCCTGATGCACACTATATAGGGTGCCACACTTTAGTAACTTTCAGACTGTTTAACTGTAAAAACTGCATCCGGAGCACTTAAGACCCGAACCCGTTAAATACAACAGTTTGATAGGGATAAAAATAACAAAGAAAACCTTCAACGCTTAAAACCTTGTAATACTGAGTAATCTACAAAAAAATCCTGTCCCTGCTGCAGTTTCAAACGCTTAATGACAGACAATGACATAAACAGAGGCCGCTCTCGCAAAGGGCTGTGACGGAAAGAATGAACTTACGAAGACAGTGACGTCACAAGCAACCCCATTTGGGAACGTTGTGTGATTCGATTTCGAGCCGTTCATTTCTCCCTCCGTACTTGACACGATGGATGCCTCAAGTTTTGTCCTGCCCTGTGCACAAACGCAAGAACACAAAGTTGTACATAAATAACAGTGGGATCGTTTAAATGCGCAAGTCTGAGCAGTTTAACATCTTCTGGAAAATATAGAAGGCATGTTTGGTGAACAGTGAGTTGTAAAAAGTTGGGAACAGTAGATAACGGGGCGAAAAACAAATGAGAGAAAGGAAAGCCTTTTGCAGCTACATCGTGCCATTCTGTCCACGCAAAAACACGTTTGGTGCACTTTTCAAAAAAGTTTGGATACGCAGAGCACGAGAATACGATTCACTCACTAACGTGACGCACACCAGAAAAGCGTTTAGACAGTACAAAAAGACATATGTCAATAAAAACAATCTAGCCTGTAAACTTTAAAACTTAACAGTAATTGCTGGCTTAATTGATTAGTTTAGAAAAGTTTATTGCACTTTTTTGACCACTCGGAATTCAGCCCCTTTTGCAGAATCGAGTAGAAATGATTAAATGAACATAAATAAACATGCTGTTTAAGCAAAATAAAGAAAACCTTTTCACGATGCACGTATGGCGTAGGAGCTTCCTCCTGATGCAGTTTATACAATATTATAATATTTGTAACCCCCATTTAATCAGGGATTCTTGCAGTCAAATATGATATAATGATTTAAGTTTATTAGGCCACCAAAATCAGCGTTTTTTCATCCTAACACCTGTAAATCAACCTTCCGTCTCTGCTTGCTTCTTTTGAGTGAGCATCAAGCGAATCACTTTAATAAATTCAAAACGAACACTAACATTATTGCCCTTTACAGTTTAGCTATCAGCAAAGAGGATTTTTAGTATAAGGGTTTTGTAAAGTTTCACTATAACGTCGAACTAATTTTCTTTAAGTATACGAACAACTTTTTCAGGCCTTTATGCTTATCAGAAAAAAAAAACTAGGCTACGTGATATGCAAAACTCCTTAAAGTTTTCTAATATTTCTTAACCAGTTTCAGGAGGACCTCTTCTCCACGTCATTTTTAATTGCTCTACTTTTATAACCATATAATCAAAGGCAATGCATCTTTCTTATAATGCAATAATGTGTGAGGGAACACATACGGTTGAGACGAAATTAATGTTAGTCTGACCTGAAGGAATTTAGAGTTGTCGTCACTAAGGGACTTTGGAGCCTTTTCCAGATACTGTAGCTTATAATAGGGGCATTTGTATTTGCACTTCCTCCTGCATATAGGCCAGGGGACAGGTGAGTGTCACCGAAAACGGGAAATGACTTATGAGGTACTTGGGGGACCTGCCTTGAAGATGGTAGTGACACGGATCACGTCACTTCTCAGTTGCTGAGAATTTCTCAGTGGACTGTATCTGCATGGCATAAAAACTTTATCACCCAATGTGTCTACATGTTATATCCTGGGTGTGCGTAGGTGTGTCATATTTCATCGAGGTGTCATATTTCCAAAATACTGTGTGTGTGTGTGTGTGTGTGTGTGTGCGTGTGAGGGAAGAAACGAGGGTGTGTAAAAGGAAATAAAAAGAAAATAAATAAAAGAAATGAAGCCGAGGAGGTTGGGTGAAACCTTGTTGTCTTTGGGCACCCACGGTGACGTGTTCTCTTACACACACACACACACACACACACACACACACACACACTGGCACTCTGTCAATGGGCTGATATTTTAATTTTAAACCTGTGTAGAACTATAACTGCGTCTGGCAGTGTTATACAGCTTATATGTTATTGCGAACAGGGTGGGGTCATTTCAACATTGTTTGGCTTCTAAGTGAATAGCACATTAACGAGATGCCCCCCTCTCTCTCTCTCTCTCTCTCTCTTCCCCGAATGGACCACTGTGTTTCCCCACGTGCAAACTGGGAGGCTCGTTGGTGGAACTGTGGTTTTGTTTGGGTGACTTTTTGTAATCGTATTAACGAGAGCAAATATTCTGGCAACGGAGACGCCAGATAATTCTCGACAGGGAGGGATCTTATACTTTGGGGACGTAAGTGGGAGAGAAGTTCGGCTTTACATTTGAGCCGCAATACAGTGATGACATATTTTTTGGGGAAAAAATTAACAAAGTGTTTGTAAAAAAATAAATACAGTAATAATAATTATAACAATAATAATGCAAGCATTTAATCCACGCAGCGTATGGAGCATCAATCGGTGAATGCGCCTTCCGCAAATGCTTTTTGGGGTAAGGGCTTCCCAGCTAGATACTTATGAACAGCAAGCCCAGACCGCAAAAAGATTCGCGAAAGACAAATCGCAGTCTGAAGTCCGTGACATCAAACAGTGACATCCAGGTGGCTTGTGCATGGCTCTGGTTTCCCAATCCTATTGTGTCCAGACATCGGGAAAAGCGAGACCGCGAAGCCCTTTTCCGTGGCTGAACTGTATCCAACTCATTCACATTCTAAGAGCATGGGAAGCTTTGAGAGCAGCCAGCATCCAAATGCCTGTATTCTGCGTGCGAGCGCTGTCCGCGGTGCTGAAATTCCCTCCTTCCCAGTAGTTTATTTTCGCTGGCTTTTCTAGTGCCTATACCGACATGCGCTGCGATTATTGCATCTAAACAAAGACACGCATATGATTGAGCGACCATTCAGCTCGTTTCTTTTCGCCTCGCCGTTTTGTTGCTACTATGAAATACATCCTCTGGTTCGTGATGCCGGAGAACTGAGCAGATGAAGCGCTCTTGGTGAGGAGAGAGCAGTCTGTAATCTGCTCGCAATAAATAGAGAGCAGCGAGAGATCTTATTGGCGCAAACAAAAAATCGTCATCCACCAATCGGTTTCTTGCTCATATAGGGACCCCCCTTTTTGAAAAAAAAAGAGAAAGAAAGAAAGAAAGAAAGGGGAAACCAAATTGTATCCTAGTTGGCGCAAGTGACCAAAAATATTCAGTACAATAACATAAAATGTTTTTATCCTTTTCTGTTTTGAAGCCGAATTCGTTCGCCATGTCACGTTTCAAAACGGGTTGCTACGTCTCTCGCACACCATGTCGGGGTGGCGTGCATTCATGTCTGCAAGTACATCCTCACGTATCCATTCAAAACAGACATTATAGGGTCGTTTTTTTTTTAAACGACTAACATTTTGGAGGCGTCGGGTTCTAACGTGCATGTAAAACAAAGCAGCACATCGCCAGCACGACGACAACAACATGACTGGCTTCTGAGGCAATTTCATTGTATGACCACAGAGAGTTCACTGGCTGATACCACTCAGTGAGGACAAGGGGGTCTCTAAACTATCAGCAGAACATAACAAATTCTATACATTACAGTTGCATCATCGCCTGCAGGCACAACAAACAAAACAATGGTGCGTTACTAAGCGATTGGCATCAGAAGAACGTTACATAAATGTTATAGATCCAACTTTACAACAACAACAACAACAACATTTTGCAAATGCATCAACAGCATCAACATTTCTCATAACTTGAGGGAAACAATTAATAATGGCATGACAACACAGCAAAAATGGGATCCCTCTGGCATATATTTTGGCCATAAACTCAATCCAGCTGTGGAATGTGACTTCATTTCACTTACCCGTGAAGTTCTTTTCTTGCATCCAACACGAACATTTGTCAAAATTGTTAAAGAGTGGATCTTTTTGGAACTATGCAAGAAACTATACGAAGTGGGAGGGTCACGATCTTTATCTGGACAACCCCCCCCCCAGTCTA